GGGTTTGGCTTGCTGTTTCACTGCAACTCAGAGTCAACTGCTGTCAAAAAAACATTAAGTCAGACTTGGAAAACTTACAGGAAGTTTTCATGGCAGCATGTGCTAGTAGAGGGAGCAACAACTGCCTGCCTGAGTTGCAGGAATTCTGAGACCCAAGATGGTTAGAAGAAAGGCACAACAGGGTCATGGTAAAAAGGCACCTCACAGAAACTTAATGTCTACCTCATCTACCTGGGTGAAAATTTCACCATTAATTTCTTGGGTCAGAAGGAAGAACTTAGGTTTTCTTTGGTAAAGACATTTGGGTTTTTCTTCTCCTAAAGACAAGCAAATGGAAATTAAATTGGGGTCTCAGCATCTCAGTATGTATGGCTAAGTGCCATTCTTCAGTCTCAGCATCCTGGTTTTAGATATAAACACACAGGAGATAATGTATGAATTGAATGAAGAAATCATTAGCCATACACACCTGAAACATGAAACAAAGCTCATTTGGCTCCATATTTCAGCCAAAATAGTGAAACAGCATCAGTCTGTTGGTTTTTTCCTCACTCATCTAAAAGAAGTAATTAATTTGTCCCCTTCCAAACTGCTGAGCTTTGTTGTTACAGGAAAGCCAGATCCTGGGCAACTTCCCGTTTCCTTCCTTACGAGTTAACCCATCTGAAGTGGGCTTGAGCACAGACAAGGTCTGTTAGCCTCTCTTCCTCTAGCCAACCAAGAACATCTTAAAACAGCAGGTCAGTCTCTGAATCCGAGTTTATTCACAATTTTGGCTCTCCTATATATCTGTAGATATATATAAAGCATGAAATGGCAGGAGCTGGCAAGTTCCTTTTGAAATATGCTCAAGTTCCTAAACACACATATAACTTCATCACTGGCAAACATCCAATTAAGTCCTTTGCTGAAAGTAACAGTATTACATTGTGTAACATCTTATCAAATGGCTATTAATACAGCTATTAATACACTATCAAGGGCTTTCAACAGAAACAATGTAAAAAAAAAAAGAATAAACTAGGATCATCTCTTTCTGAAGAACTGTGGAGTGCTTCAGAAACAGCATCCACACCTCTGATGAAATTAAAAGCATTCACCATTAGAATTTGGGACTGACAGGAGAAAGCTAACATGTCACACAGAGCTTAAGTGGAATAAGGCAATTATTTCTACTTTTACAAAACAATTGTCATAGAACTGTTCACACTTGTGAGAAACAGACACCACTGAACCAAAAGAAGGAGATTCAGTGCTGAGGAGATAAAACATTTGACACCAATGAGTCCAGATACATACATGGTGTTCAATACAGCTTTTTCTACTGCTTTTCCATTTTTTCTGTTCTTTCTATTTATCTTCCTGGCCATATGAGATTGGTTCTGAAATGGTTCTAGTTTCCCTCTGCTTTCTCACATCACACAGAAGTCAACCCCAAAGACACCATGCCGCAGCAAAAGTTTTTGGAGGGCACTTACCAGCATGAAAGAAGATAAGATAGAAGACATTTCTAGAGCTCTTCATGGTGAAGATTTGGGGATTTGTGCTTTTTCCAGCCTTCAGAACCCTCAGAGATCAAGGCTTCTGCAAGTGTGCTCTCCCCAGCCTGCTCTTTGGTAAAAATCAGCAACATTCAATTGCAGGTGCACTTTGTTCAACCATTTATCTTGCTTACCTTGGCACACGTCACCTCATAATGACTACAGGAAAAAAAGCCTACCTCTCTTCACACCACCTCTACACTTACAAAAAAATTCAGACTAGGAAATTGCAAAATATCTGAGGCACCAATGAGGTTGTTACTGCTTTAGCACCACCTATAGTTAGATAAACAGCTACACACCAACTCGTAGGGGTAAGGCAGGGCTGTGTAACGAAATCTTAATTTTGAGTTCTATGTATTTCCTATGTGTTGGGGCTCAGGAAGCAAAAGTAGATTCCAGCTAAGCACTTTATCTGACAGAGCTGATGGCCACTTTTTTTGCTGCATTCTCAGTGTTGTCATGAATTTCATAAAGCCATAACAAGAAACCCAGGCTTTTACAATAGTGAAGTCTGTACGCTCTACAGGTGGTACAGTGAGTGCTAAGTGCACGTCTCCTGAAATTTGATAGCAAATGCTATGAAATAGCTGAAGTAGTTTCATTTTTTTAAGGTTTTAGAGAAGGCCCAGGAAGGCTTCTTTCTCCCAGAAAGATTAAAAACTCTGCTGAAAATAGCTGTGTTAAAAGCTGCTGTGACTTTGAGTAGCTCTCACAGAGCAACACTCACTTGTGCTGCCCTTTTCTTCATTTCTCATTAGCCAATGAACTGCAGCTGCCTGTAGCACTTTGTTCAGATAAAAGCTATTTAATGCTGCTTTGCTCTGCTAACTCCCATTTCTCAGCTTAGCACCCAGCTACCAGAAAAAGAACAGCTGTGTACTGCCATGAAAATGCCTTCACCATCTTCTACCAAGAGCATGCACAAACAACACAACTGTATGCATCCTTCAGACAGTCTATACATCCAGTAATGGTGGCACAGACACTTTCAGGAGTTAGTTACTTAGCTACTTGACTGCAATTTGGCCAGGCTGCTAGCTTTAACACCTATTAGCACCTGTAAAACAACAGCTGAGTTTAAAACGATTAATTGCTATTTCAAATTTAGACCTTCAAAAAAATAGAAAATGACCCCTCCAGACCTTCTTAAACAAAACCTTATGTGAACTCTGATTCTTGGCTGCCTAGACTATTGGGAACTAGTCGTCCCTTTGTTGTCTGAAGTCCTAAAGAATGACCTGGCACCATTGGAGTCCTTCCAAATTTTTGGAAGGACCCATTATTCGAATCCCTCCTATGCCCTTCCCACCAGCCAGATCAACCTCTCAAGCCTTCTGATGCTTGCAGTGAGGCTTACATACATATATAGATGACAAGACTGATGCACAGTCCTAGCACCAGTTGCTTAAGACTGCAAGGGCAAGATTAATAAGAAATTAATTTGGTACCAGGCCTCTCCTATGGTCCTTCTGATCCTCTATGGGAAAGGTTCAGAAGGTAGAGGAGCAGCCTTTTTGTACAGGAGGCCTGTTCTGAATGCAACCCCCTCTAAACCATCACACAAGCACAGTTCATGATAATTTAGCTCATCTTCCTATTTCATTCATAACCCTATGAATATCTATGCTTTAAGGAGATATTAAATTCCTTAGCCTAATTTTCAGCACAATTTGGCAAAAACACCCACAAAGGAAATTATTAATATAACTTACAATAATAATAGCAGCAAATACTTCGTCAAGCATGCTTCTGTATAGCAGTTAGAAATAGTTGGGTTAGCAGGCAGGGAATAAAACCCATGGTGCCTTCACTGGACCAGCAAAAGTAGGGTGGTAATGCATCAGTATGACACTATTTGGATTTCCTAATTACTCTAGTTGTTAAATTGGAAGCCTTAAGAAAAGTAAATGTATTGTAAAATACATCTTTAAAATAGAGAAAGTAAAGTATACGCAAGAATCAAAGACATATCAGCACCCGATACTGGAAAAGTAAGATCCAGAGAAACACTAATTAATGCAAAATCCTAAAAATTACAGCATAAAACAAGTCAACTAGGAGCATCAAGGCTGTCAGAATCAAGTTTTCTGCCAGGGCTCAAGGGCAACATCTGAAACAAACAAAACCAAAAATACAAAGATGATACCCTAGAGTCCTTTGGGTTTTCTTGATCCAAGACTTGTTTTCACTCTAGCATGACAACCATGCAAGGTGAGTACCATGGACTTCAGTCCAAGCATAGTATCCAGTGACACCTGGCTAGTACATGACAAATGCCTGGGAGAAGTTCTGTGAAAGCTATTCAGACACTGCAATATATTAAAGAGTAATTCCTCATGTATCTACTCAGCTAACAGGACTCTTTCTGATGGGTTAAAAAAAGAGGTCAGGAAAACAAAGTGTGTACAATATAGAAATCTCAGATGTTGTTATGGTTTGCAGGTTTGATAGCTGAGATTTAGATCCTTTTTTTTTTTAAAGTTGGTCTGTTTTAAGATGTCTCACTATACACCTCAGATAATGAGTCATTTTCAAAGAGGGAGACTATAATAAACTTTTAGCTCCTTTAAAAATCTATGACATTATTTATGAAAAGTTGCATCAATATTATACACCTTGCACTTCCATAGACAGGAGTCTCAGAATGACAGCACACTTGCTTCACAAATCTAGAAAAACAAAAATTATTTTGGACCATACATCAGCATCTCACACTTACTGTAAGTCTTACAAGCATTCCATATAACACCAGCAATGTTTGTGTCCCAAGTTTAAACCTGCTTTTAATGTAGTAACTTCACTAGCCCCAACCTGGTCACCAGCATTCCTCTAACATTATTTTCATTTACAGTCCGAGTCATTTATTTTAAAATGCTACAACACCTGTATTTCTTTTGATTAAAAACACACTTGACAAATATATTGTACAATAAAGTTTATTAGCTGTTCTCCTCTTTCTAACAAATGGAATGGATAGTGTTGATAATTCTTTACAAACCAAAGCTAATTTGGTTGTGTGACTGCCCCATGACTGCCATAAGTACATCCCTCTTATAAACAATCAGTTTCAAACAAGCAATGGCAGGTACCAAATAATACGGGAATTAGAGAATTTCATTACTGAAGGTAGTTCCATGTTTTGGTACAACGTATTTATAACATTCAGCACAGAAGTTTGTGCATTGCAAGTGGAAGATCTTGTGCCTATGCAATCCGAGATGAACATGTACAGAAAAATAAAATGTATTGTTAACTGAATTCTCCCTTTGGTTAAGACATGCATAATTACAAGGTGGGGGGGGAGAAACAAACACCTGAAATTCTGTAGAAAAGAGGAGAACTTGCATGTATTTTTTTTCTTGTAACCAATATTCCCTGGACTTTATGCCCAGCCACCATAGCCCATTTCATTTCTCGTGATTAAGGAAGGTAAATTCTAATTTGTATTTTTATTCAAAACAAAAAGCTAGGAGTAGGTGGTAAAAGAAAAATATATATTTTTTATATATATATTTATACGTGTGCGCAACTATGTAAAGAAAATAATTCCCATAGTTACAGAGTTTAGTTAAAGAAAGTTTAATATATATATATTTATTATAACAAAATAGGCAGTTATTGTGGGTAAAATATTCATTAAAATCTGACCCCTAAGAACACACACATTTTTAGGCTACGAATCATTCTCTCATTGCCCTAATGACCATCTCTGCAGCTGTTTTCTGTATTACTGCCAATGGAAATTTGGCATTCCTCTGAAAAATACAAGGTTTCCTAGCACCTAAACATATTTTAGGCTCAAAAAGTGTGATGACCATTATCTATAAACAATTTCTGTAAGACACTATAAATAGTGTTTCACGAGGAAGATTAAAAACATTACACATCTTTGTCCCTAGCAATTTTATTGGCAAAAAATGAAAAAATAGATTGTAAGAATATCCATATGAAATTATGAAAATTAATATCCCTTGAGGAGTAGTAATGGGAGTTAATGAAAATGTTAACTCAAAATTTGAAAGTTTCTCTCTAACTGCCTGGAAAGAAAGGAAAAAAAAAAATACCGTGAGGATAGAATTTAACTCAGAAAATAAAACCTGCAATTGATTGCCCTGACCAAACCATGCTATTAAAGTTAAGCGTGCAAAGTTACTCATGATTTACAACTTCCTTGAATACAACTTTTCTTTCAATTGTTATGAAATTTTAAAAGAATGTCTATAAAGCTTTTTTGAAAAAAATCTTTGAAAGTTACTTTCCCTTAAACATTAAGGAATTTTACCAAGCAATTCCCTCCCACCCCCACCCCAAACTAATAGCTGGTCAGGCCATTCCACTGTCTTGTTTGAAAAATGGCAAACCAACAACACACAATAATACGAATTATTTAAACTAAGAGAGACACCAAATGTAAAGCATTATGGGAACTGCAGAATGTGATGGTTAGGGTGTGAACCACGCTGGAAAGGACTAGAGGCAGGCTCCACTGGAAGGGCTTAAGAGTCGTCAGATGTAGTAGGTGATGTCAGTTAGAAAATGAAAAATAAAAATCTGTTTTCATAATTTTTCCTTTGCTGGAACCCAGATGTAAGGCCCAGACTGTTCTTCTATGATCTGTTTCACTTGGTTGTAGATTTCTTCCAGTGTGTCTCCTTGGACAATAGCTGCAAAACATAATGTGGCAATCAGCAATCGTCCTTCCTAGCTCTGTACAGAAACCAAGATGTTCCAAGCCAAGCTGTCTTTTCTCTCACAGTGGCAAGAGGATTTTAGATTACTGAAGGAACAGATGCCCACTGAGATTTCTGGTTTCTGTGCTAGAGTGAAGCACATTGTTGATGGTACTGCAGGACACACAAAGCACCATGTCTCTCACTCAAGGCTTGGGATTCGGAAGCAGTTTTCACTTTACTACAAGTATACACATACAACTGAGCAGGTTTTTTTGCTTTTCCTAACCACACATTAGAGTTTGCCTGAGTCAATGTGCATCCTCCAGTATTCTTTTTGGTCCAACTTTCATGTGTGTTTCCAACACAAGGCAAGACCGAGTACAGGGCTGTGTCCTCATGCAGTCAGAGTCAGGCTTGGTGTAATGCAGACTGGTGAACGCCGCAGCTGGATCCTGAAACTTCACAGCAAGGCTGGCTGACCTTGGGATTTCTACCTGCTAGCACTACCTTTGCTTTTGGCCAAAAAGAGGAGGAACTCATGGAATTTGTTGCCCCACCAATAGGTTCAAGTTTTATAGACAATAGGCGTCATTATATAGTTAAAAGTGCAACTTATATTCAGATGCTCTAAGTTAGATACATTTTCTCCAAGGCTAGAAAATAATTAGAAATGAGCCAGTATGGATGTGTTCCGGCATATCAGAGTAAAGTACAGCCTGGTGAAAAGGAGGATGAAGTTTCAGCTGTTCTTACCACACTTCAGTCTGAAAAAGCAATCACCATGAGTGAGATAGCAACTTCTTTTTAATTAGGATCGCCACCTCAGTGTTGATAATCCAAGAAACAAAGTTTAGCATGAAAGATAGTTTTGGAGGCAGGCCAGACTCACTCTTTTGTGCATTAATATATTACTGCTGCTTCTGAGCTTTGCTTTCATGCAAATTACTTCCTTTTTATTCCGAATCACCATTCCCATCTCTTAAAAACTTTCTCCCCATCTGCAGCCCATCGTGCCTGTGGGAGGAGGCTGTTCAATTATTATAGGTCAAGTATAACGCTCACAGCACAACAGTGCATTAGAAAGATTTAGAAACATCTTTGCAATGCAAATAGGTGTAAGCTTCAGCACCTTACTTCTCTCCAGCTATGTTTAACCACACCTCTTCCAAAGCTCAATACCCTCAAAACAGAAGATGGATGTGCTCTTCATGTGCTTCGCTGCAAAGTTTAAGTCTGTCTAAACTTAACCTGCCAATGAAATTTATTTCAGTTACCCTACACGATGTGGTATTTTTTAACAGATTAGGGAATGCTTACACATTCTGTTTTACCACGCGACTCACATGGGTGGCAGCCTCCAAATTTTAAGTAGTAAGTGGGATTTGTAATGTCTTCAAGTATCTCAAACAGATTCAGAGAAGGATTCTGGCCTGAACTGGATTATCAAGGACAGAAGTCTGACCACTGCTATCTTCCTTTGTCAACAAGCCTTAAAATTCTAAGAAACATGGCTCCGAGCACTTAAAAAGCGCCCAGAGGTTTTTTGAAACATGTTGAATTATGTCCTTCCATTTCCTGAAAAAAGTGTCCTATATAATGACCTGACACAGCTTCGGAGAATTCCAGCTACTATTTAATTAATATCTATTATAATAAACTGATTTGTTTCCTGAACAATCCTGATACATTTGCAAGTCATTTGGTAAGGGACTCTATAATAGGAAGAATTTGCAATATATGTTGAGAGTCCCATAACTTCCTGGGTGCAGACAGATAGCTATGGGAAGAGTGGGAGAGCTAGATGCAGTATTGGGATAAACTGTCAGCTGCAAGGCAGCAGAGAGGGAGGGAGACAGACAAAAAGGGATGGACTCAAGTTGTTCGCTGTGTGGGTAGCACACAATGTAGAGAACAAGGCAGCAGGAAGACTGGGGCAGGGAGTCGACTGGGTCTTCTATCTTCCTCCCCATGTGAAGCCACCACCCCTTCCTGTGTCTCTGCCCAGGTGGAACAGACTTGTATTCACAGCTCTGCCCACATAAGACGTGGAAGAAGGAATTGGGTAAAGGAGTCGTGTCACAGAAAGGAGGTGAATGGGGCAGCAAACACTGAAACACTGCAAAAGAGAACGTAACAGGAAGGAAAGGAGTGACTGTCTATCTAGGACAGGAATGGGGAAGGCTCATTTCTGTTCTCCTGAAAAATCTTGACTTGATCAATCTCCTCCTACTGCAAGCCACAATGCAAACAATTAGCACAGTCTGAGTGCTTGCGGCCCATCCCTTGCTGTTACAGTTAGATCCACGGCATACAAAATTTGATTTGCTAAGCACCACAATGCTGTAGTGCCCAATTTCCAGAGGCTTAATTAATTACCATCATTCTTTACTTCCTGATTTTAAAAAAAAGGAAAGTAACATTTTCTACAGGGAGCTTTGCTGGGCAATCTCAAATTGCTCTGCAAATAAAAAGCTTTAAGTGTACAATATATCAACAAAGCAAACATCTGCACTACAATACTGAGGAAAATAGTAGAAAGTCTCACAGTTTTTAAAACCTAAATTAAGCTCCCAGTAAATTTTTGTATATATTGAATTAATTGATCAAATTGAAATCAGTGTATACATACTAAGATGGCTCTATGCCTTGAAACAATCACAGATCAGCCGAAAAACAAAGTTCAGCCTTATCTCAGCAGTGAGGCAATTACTATTTTATGGCAAGCAATAAAATTTCAACTCTGGCAAGGGAACAGTCCCAAGCAAAACACACCTGTGAAGTGTTCAGTAAATTCTTGCTCCAATTTCATGGCTCTCTCAAACGTCTTTCTGGCTTGCTCTTCCGTTAAGCGTTTATTCATTTCCCTGAAATTGAAAACATTATACATTTAAAACCTACTATCAAACACTTGGAGTCTTTTGAAGCAAGGTTTTAAACTGCTGCCTGAGTATTAACCCTAATAAGAGGCAGTCTCCTAAATGGCACACCTAAGCAAAGACTGTAGTGGGAATGAGCTGTTCTGACACTATGTTGCATGGAATTTCGCACAATGACATTTGTTCTCAAGCACTTTAATTTGGATTAGAAACCCCATCTAAAAGTCCCTAGAAATTAAACTCAGGAAATTAAATATCGTTTAAAATGCAAATATTACAATTGTCCTCACATAACTTGCAGTTGGTTTTTCAAATACAATGACAGTCTCAAACAATTTAGCCTGAGGTACTTGACTTTTACTCACATGATATTTTCCACTGTTTTGGGTTTAATAAAAATGGAGATTGGGTACAGCTGGGCAATCTGCAACCTTTTGATCGCATTACCAGAAACATCAAGAATGCAATGTTTACCCTAAAAAGTGAGAGAGAAGGGAAGATGGCACTAAGCAAAATTTAAGTCACAGGTACGCATAGCATAATTATTTAGAAGAGAAAACACATCTCCACTGAAGCCAACAAAATTAGAGCATCTGCATCAATGATATTATGATTTCACCACTTTGGCACAAGGTCCCACAATGCTCCTCTGTTGGGATCATACATCATTTGAGATGTTCCTGACCCTTCTTCCTTCTTTTCTCTACCAGAGGTTGCAGCCCAATCAACAATGCAGAATCATGCAGTGAAACAGCTGTACTTCAACCACACTGCCAAAAATATTTTTATTTTTTAATAATTTGAGGATCCTTTAGGGAGGCGGCCATGTCACAAATGCAGTTTAGAGAGAAGCCAGATGACTTAACTGGCATACCCGAAGGAGTAACCAGCCCTGATGGCAGGGAAATACACCACCATCAGAATCATTAGATGGAACTGGATGCAAGCATTCTCCTCCCCCCAGGTACCACACAGTAGAATACCAACTTTGAGATGGTAAGTGCAATTTATTTGGGCTGATTATCTTTTATCTCTTGAGAAACCAATATAACTTAACGGTTCCTTGGGCAGTTGGAAGACAAAGTGGTAGGGCTGCTTTTCTCCCCACCTCTATTCTCCCACTAGAAGCAAATTTCCAGCTCTTTGGGATACCTCATCTCAAAGGCTCTTCCTGTTCATCAGCTCCTCTCATCTCTGATACGCTCATTTCCACCTCACACATTTTTATTGCTTTCCTTTCCAAGTGGCATATGAGTAATTTGCCATACCACCATTTTAGAAAGGGATGGGGGAGTGGAAAAACGCTGTTGGGTGACTAAAATAAGAAAAGCTTTTTCTTAAGCAGGAGACCAATGTGAATGGTAGAATTCTGTAAGCCAGGATACAAACCCACAAGCACCATAAAACCAATGGTTACTCATATACAACACACTTCCTGAACTCCTGGGAGATCATTCCTGGAGGGCACGTTGAAGAGCAAGGAAGTGACTGCAGTCTGAAATGACTGACATGTTTCTGCTTCCTGGCAGGAGAGATCACTAGGATCATTTACATTTGATCACTTGCACAACAAAACCACAGAATTTTATTTCAGGAATTCTTAAGGATAGAAGTGTTCTTCCCACATGACCAATACATATCTTCTTGCTTTCAACTGCCGACAGCTGTTTCCCAGAGCCAGTCTGGTGATCTGGATGCTGACTGGTATCATTTAAGAGTGTCTTTATGTTCTAGCAGAGTGTTTTACTACATGTGCTGACCTGTCCACATCTTTCAAATGGTTTCAAATGTGGCAAGTGCTCTTGGAATTGAGAATTAAGAGCATTACCTGGTCCATTTTCCTTTTTGGGATAAAACTCTTAGTATTTGCTGTGTTTGGCTCAACAACTTATGCCAGGTGCCAAAGGATTTTGAGCAAAGAGAGGAGGACTAGGTTGCTAGCACAACAGCTGTGATGGACTTTATGGAATATAACTGTGACAGTTTACTCCAAATAAATAATGAACGTGCATTAACAGTGGCCTCAAACAGAGATTTGCAAGTTGCTAGCGATTCCAAAGAGGATATGAAAATTCCTTTCAAGTGAAGATTTGGAAGACAAGGAAAAGAAATGCAAGTACTTCATGATATAATTATCATGATTTCATCCAGGGCAGCTATTAGCTCTTTGCACAGCGCATTCAAACAATATTTTACATATTTTTTAGTTCCTTACTTGCACTGCATCTGATTGAGAAAGACAGCAGAGCACTCAGTGCCTTTTACAATAACTGAACAATGACATCAAAAAGCATCTTTAGCTGTGTCCATTATAGGTAACGAAATGAGAGATGGGGTTCAGCTGGAAGCATGGACAAATGAACACAATTTAAAGCTATTGCAAGAATACCATTTTTGGGACTTTTGGGGTAGTAGCAGTCACTTCTGTTGTGTCTGCCCTTAAATTCATCACAGAAAACTTGGAAATCATCTTTTGTATCCCAGGAATAAGACCCACTGAAGAGACTCATCTCTTAAGCAAGACGGAGAGGACTACAAGGACGGTCTAGTCCCAGATCGACCAGTTTGCAGCCCTGTCACGATTCTGAAGTCAAGTTCTGAAGGACAAGCCATTGTTTCCCAGAAGAATAATGTTAGCTGGAACTGAGAAATTACTGCATTTACCCGAAGTCCCACAGTGCCTGTGCAAGAGATTTAATAGCACGGAGACATCTGGTAGTACTCAGTTCATGTCAGTTTATAAAAAGTTCACAATCATTTTGTACCTTACTAATCACACTAGATGAGCAAAAGAACGCAGCCAATTTCAGGTCTAGGATGGAACCGAAGAATTGTATCTGTGCTACGAGGTGAAGCAACTGCCAACAGGTTTATAATGTTTAAGCTGTTCAATAAATACTTTCATCATTTAACCACATATGATAGTTTCACAACTTTGTTCAGCCTCCCAAACAAAATAATGTTAATTTACTTCAAAAGTTTCATAATTAATTTTATTTCCTTTACTTTTCTTGCTATATACCACTGAGCCAGGTTCTATTCCATAGGGTGAGAAAGACAGAAGAAGAAAACTTCATCACATGAACCACAGAATCCCACCATGTTCTCCCTGGTTTTGATTCTAGTAAATTAAATTGCCAGAAATAACAATACTCAGCCATTTGGCCAGAATGGTCTACACTGTTTTCCAGAGGACTAACTACACTCCTGTGTCACCTAGGTTAACCACACTTACCCTCTGCATGTCCAGACTGGCAGTGCTCATGCTTGTGAGTTCCCACCTAGAAAATAGCTGTTTCTTCTCTCATACAGATCAGACAACATTGTCTACTGTAAATGCACCATATTTGTAAGCAGTAGAACAACACTCATCAACCTAATGTGGAACATTTGCAAAGAATTTTCACCAAAAAAATTTCTTTAAAACAAGCAACTTACTCTAAGAAACATGCTTCCTTCTTGCCACTCTTTTTCAGAGAGCTCAAGTAAACTTCAGTTTGAATTTAGAATATTTAGATTTTGCAAGAAATAGTTAATTAAAATCTATTCAGGATAAAACCAGTAAGGTCAGTCTTCAAAATGTAGTGGTAGTTATGTAAAAAGTCTTTCCAAAATTGAGTTTATTACATTCACTCTTTTCCCTTTGTCAGCTAAATCCATGAAGGGCACAAAGAATAACAAATTTATAAGTTTTCTTCCACACAGGTCTGTATCAAATGGATCATCATATTAATTGACTACACCACCACTATTCTTAATTAGTTATTGATCTATGTATGTGAGCTAGGCTAATTAGCCTGTAATTCCAATTATTTCTTCTCTATTCTCTTTTTATAAGAGGGCACAAACTATGGTTGCTCTTCTCCCATCATATAATCACAATGCTTTCATTATTCCAAAGCTTCATTATTTCCCTAAATGCATTTGTGACAATGTGCTTTGCTTCTACTTTTGTAGAAATTCCTTGTAAAGTCAGATGGTTCCTAATGGCTTCTTGCCATTCTTCTCTTTTCCCCTCTGTCAGCACAGTCATATAATCACCTCAGTAAATTAAAGTAACTGGCGCTGATTTACCTTTTCTGCTACTTCTCGCACTGATTGGACACTTGTTCCGTAAAGATGATTATTGTACTGGCCAGCTTCAATGAATTTGTGATCCTGAATATCCTTCTCCATTTGCTCTCGAGAAGTGACAAAATGGTAATCACGTCCATCCACCTCATAATCTCGTTTTGGTCTAGTAGTATCTTTAAATATAAACCAGTAGTTTTTAAAGCAAAACATAAAACAGTGACTTTTTTTCCCTACAACATCGAAAAATAGTCTCCCATTTATATTGCAAAATTTTCACAAGCAAAGGGATGACTGACCATTAAGACAGGTCTATAAAGTTTAAACGATATATTAACTTTTTTTTAACTCAACATACAGAGGATGTCTATTAAGAAAATTAACAGAAAAAAATCATTTAGAATTGCTTTAGTATTTGCTGAGACTTACGTGGAACACATGAGCCAAATTTGTCTGGAAATTCTGAGATCAGATCATCATTTATTCTGTCTTTCATGGGTCCCAAAACAATCACAGGTCGAGTGTAACTGACTATTAAACATAAAGGAATAACGTCAGTTACATTTCTGTATGATTGCTAACTTTCACAGTTCAGCAAAATAAGCTTTATCACATGGTAATGATTTTAATACCTGAAAGAATATGTACTCCTAAAGAGAATAAAAACATGTTTAAGAACGTAAATCAATTAATATCATAGACACAGTAAGATGTTAGAGCTTCAGCCTCAAATCACCACCCTGGGTGACTGAAGTCTTTGGGAGGAAAAAAAAAAAAAAAAAAATCTTTTCACAAAGTAACATCCTTCATTCTAATGAAAAAAGCAGAAGGGGGAAATTTGAAAGTCTTTTCACTTCAGAGGTACCTAAGCAGTAGCACTGTTCGTGAAATTCTAGTTCTGTGTTGGGAGAAGCTTCTTACGTTCTCTAAGACCACAATTAAATATTCATATATAAAAACTCAACTATATATACCTTCTGTAACTATTAACACCCTTATAAAATGAAGTGTAGCATCTTTTAAAAGCAGCTTAATTTTTTATGAAGTTATAAAGGGCTTTTGGTTGGAAATTAAGCTTAAGCAGAAAATATCCGATTATACTGCAAGAACCATGAAGACAATAATGCCTAAGTATCTTGGCATTAGCATGTAATTTCAGCTGAATAAATTTTAGTTTTAGGTTCAATCTGACTTTACTGCACAAATAAGTCCAAATTAAATAAAGTTTGACCTATAAAATATATTTTAATTTGACTCTCAGAGCTACTTTCTTTCAATGGTATTAATATATTCATAAAAGGAATGTCTTGGATCCAGTAACTGTCAACCTATTAATTTAACAACAAACATCTTTGCTTAAAGACTAAGGGTGGCCCACTAGTGTCTCAAATCCAAGCACCTTTAAATCTATTTTGGTCATTACAGTTCTTTATTCCTCTGAGCTTCTTATAAAAAAAAACCAAAACAAAACCAAACCCAGACTACTTTGGAAGTGAATTTGTGGACAAATGCAAATAACATATTCAGGGAATGTATTACTGCTCCTAAGCAAAGAAACGAGATGCTAGTTCTTTTCTGGCCTTCCCCATACACTACATTAGACTCATAAAGAGAATTACAGTCACATATTTAAATGCCAAAGCATTTGGCTCTCTAAAATTTTTAGTTTTACAATATAACGGTTACCAAACCATTGGCTTGTGCAAAGTCTTATTCACCTTTTCTCTTCAACCTTGACATTAATTCACTTGATATTACTATTGTTCTTACTAAACCATTAAGCTATCCGAATCTGGGATGCTAATGCCAGCTAAAAAGATGTTTCTCATTTTGTGAGACCCTCTGGTGTGCATACATACACAGACCTAGCAGCTGCTCATTTGAGGGTAACAAACCTCCAGTTCCCTAGCTTAAGCATAGCTTGCTTAGCACATCAAAGAAGGCCTACTATTTCCCCATTTCTAGCATGGTCTTAACTCATGCATTTCTCATCCACGATCTTATTTGGAGCCTACCAAAATTACAAATTATATGATATAAATAATGTAGTTTGTGTTAGGCTTACATAACAATTTTTATTACTTTTGGAAGCTTACTGATGAAATGGAGTCCATACGCCACGATTAACAAATCACATATGTTCCACAATGCTATTAAAAGCAACTGGGCTGTGCCACCCACTGCACGAAACTAAAAATGAAAACTTGACACTCAAAATTCATGTAAATACGTGACGTATATTTGCTTCCACTGCCACCTTATTTGATAGGTAATAGATATCAAATACTCCCAAAGGACATCCGTTTTACTGATTAATTTACAAATATATGAGCTATGTATTAGAGAATGTAAATCAACCATTAGCATCTGTGGTGGTGAATGGGAACACTAAAAATTCTGTCTCTATTATACACAGTGAAGCAAGATCAGCACCAAGGTGAAAGGAAATGATAGCATCCCATTAAAAATCAGTTAATAGCATTTTATTTTAAATGCAGGTGTGAGAAAGTATTTTCTCCTATCAATTTCCACTTAATTGAAAAATACCTTTTTTCCTGGGGGGGGAAGGGGAATCACTTGGCAATTGCTAACCAAATTAGCCATATAAGAAGCCCATACAGAAATGGGAGACTGCCATGTTTTAGAGACATTTCGATAAAAGTTTACGTAAATAGAGAAATGATCTATTGACACACTTTTTGCTATGACAGCAAAAAAGGAACTGCAACAGCGAGAACACTAAGCAATATGAAAAAGAAGAAAACTATAATTTCTGAGGTTCACACTGACAAAACTGTTAAACATACCATATTTTCCTTATGCAATGTAAACCACAGAGTAAGTTACTTTAAGCAGCACACCTTTGGATTTTGCACTAAATAATTTAGCAATTGCATTTAATAATTTATGCCTTTATGCTTTATTCATTTGAATAACGGTAACAAGTTCAGAACAGTAAAGAAGTTTAACATGGTGCTCAGTACATAGGGGCACATGAAGCATTCTGATAATTCAGATGGTATTTATTTTTTCCCCGAGTAATATCTACAAACCTTCTTGTTGATTGACTGGTTCATATGACAAGACATATTCCTCTTGGCCACCTAAAATGTAAATGCAAAGACATATCTATGTATTTTTTCTAAATCAACATATTTAAATTGAGTCATTCAATGAACTATAATGATTCGGACATTCCTCAGTAATATGCATTACAGTGATACTGATGAAGGACATTTTTCAAGAGCGATGAATTATAAAAATCACAAAGATAAGCCAAACACAAAATTTTAAAGCGTAAGACATACAGCATAAATAATTTCCTGGTTTATGTCAAATTTACATCAAGCACAAGAAGAATTTTAAAGCATTATTGAAATGCTCTTATACACATTTCCCTGAATGAAATGCATGCATGCTATCATTCACTGCTAGAAGCAATGCCACCTTCATCATGAACATTCTCCACACTTTGAAGCCAGCATTTACAATGACATTTTTCCATATTTATACAGGGCTGACAACCATGTATGTCAAGGTGTACATATCTTCCACTAACTTTATCATGAAGTGGCATTTATATAAACATCTTCACTCTAATTCTACAAAAAAAAATTATGATTGTATATACTAAATAACTATTGTTTTATTAATGAATTTTTAAAGATGAAGTTGAAAACAAAGAATGCTTTGTATTGTTCTCAGCTCCAGAAAGCACATCAGCAGTGAATGAAACTACAGTAACTGAATTTTGACCTTTGACAGCTGCAGGCTTTTTAAATGTTAGTGAAAGCATCTGAAATATACCTCAGTTGCCATCCCTCTAAAATATTATTTCTAGTCTAACAAGATATCTCCAAGTAAGATTTCTTGCAATGAAATCACTAAAATTTAACTCCATGACAGTAGAGAATTTATAATTCTGAAGATACAAGCTCAAATTATAGGACATTACTATGAACTTTGAATAAAATACAGTCCTTCAGTAACTCACTTGTGTAATTTTGGAACATTCTTTGGAGTTCATAAGCCATACTTATAACAGGCAAAGGAACATACCAATGCTATACCACAGTTGTATAGAAACAGATGGCAGATGAAGGCTTTTATAAATTCATATATTGCTTCTATATATTTATTCTTTATTTCATAGCAAATACCATTGATCTTTCAAATCTCAAATTCACAATTTCATTAAGAGAAATATTTCTCTTATTTGTGACAAATTTGCACTCAAACTGTACTACAACAATATATGAACAAACATTTTAATTTTCTAAGTTATTGCAAGTGAGGAATACCTTAAGACAGACACAAGAACATGCAACCTGTATATTTTAATATCTCAGAAAGTTACTCATGCAAATGGATTTTAGAAGGACAGTATATACTTTCAACACCCCTTTTAGGCTAGGGAGAGAAAGAGGGAATCACCAACTATCAACTCATCTATGAAAGATACAGCTCACATATATTTAGATACTTTGGAGAAGTCACATTGCTATAAGGTCAAAAATTACATTAGTTAAGCAAACTACTAAAGAAGATAATAACAAGTAAAAAGCATCCCCTAATTGAGGGCAAAAAGTATATATTGTCACTGCTTTTCAATACTTTGGAAAAATGAATATTAATAGAATGAACCTTTTGAACAACCGTACTCATCTGTAATCAAGATAACTTTCATATTAGACAGCAGTAAGAAGAAATTTAAAAAATTATTTTAATAAAAAGTGCTTGAAAATACACATCCAGATAAGCAAATCCATGACATTCATAATAAAATCGGGGCTTCCCAAGTAACAATGGAGTAAAAAACTAACTAGTAGTACCAATAACAAGCTTTAAATATAAATAAAGCAAGCTCTGAAAAAACCCTTGGTGGGGCGGACAGCGGAAAACAGCAAATTTATAAAGAAACAGTCATGGTTCGGTAGGTTTAGTGGTGTGTCATTAAAACTGGTTAAAATTTATAAGCTTGTCAAAGGCGACTTCCATACATGCTCAATTTTGTGTTATTCTCAGGGAACATGAATGCCTCCCCCAAGTGGTTTCTTTTCAGTTACAGTCTACAACACTGTTAGCATTTTATATACATGTATAAATTCTCTCCTTCAGTGTAGTCAACTGGAAGAAAAAATGTAGATCATCACCTCTGAGAAGATCTACAACTTCCAAACAAATATATCTGTTAATGAACCACCTGCCTTATTACCCTAACTTAAATTATATGTGTTTCTGAAGTGCCCGCCATACAGCTATAGCAGGCCACCAGCAGGCTGATCAGCGAGCCACTCAGTGTCACACTGCACGACTTCCACTCTTCCCTTCTTTTCGTATTCCTCTTCAAATCCTCAACTTTCTCACCTTCCTGCTCTGGCCGGGATTCCAGGTCTGAACTGTGAACCGTACTGAGTTGTTCACTGGAAATGCCCAGTGGGATTAAAGTTCTGGCTCTGGTTTAAGACATTTTAAAGCATTGTAGAGCAGCATCATGCAGCATATTACCCACTGTGAACGTGTAGTACTACTGTAGCTTGGGTAATAGTAAATAGTACTGTAGCTTGGGCTAGTAAAAAAAGCTAACTTAGTCTAGTATTTAAAAGATGCTATGTCTTCAGAGAGAGAACGTGCATGCATGCCTAGCACGCTAATTTATCTTAACTGACTCCGGCACTGAATGTGTGTCGTATGCTTTGAAGAAGATTCATATTAAGCACCCGCACTTGACAAAATAGATAAATGAAAGCTGAAAGCAAGGGTAAACACATTTGCTTATCTTTACTTTCATTAGAAGCATATACATATTAAATCTGAGTATCAGTTGTGAAAAATTGTAGATAGTTATGTACTATTAAACAGATTACACAGTTTAATTACACTTCTGGTATTAAGCTCAACTACATATAATTATATTTGTCAGCATTAAATTTACATTTAGGTTTTAATAGATCTAGCTAGCTCACATAATTTAAAAAAAATAGGAGCAGATTCAAATTAAGCTGAACTAAGAAAATCATAGATCACCATAAAAATAACCATAAAGGAGGTTTGCAATGATTCTCTCCAATCAGTTTTTTAAAAACAAAGACACAGCACAACTTGCAGTACTCCACCAAACACATGAATATGGATTTCACCTGAAGGTGACTAGGAAGTTCTACTTAACATGTAAATAGCCAGAAAAGACAAGACGGACAAAACCAAAGAAAGAGCTACTAAACAAAGGTTCTAAATAAACAAAGAACTTAAAAACACTTACGGTAACTACTTTCACTATCGCTGGCGTTAGAGGTTACATGCTCTGAAATTGCAACACAATGGAAAAAAAAATAAGGAACATACACTAATGGCATGAGTCCAAAAGAAAGCAAACTGACACAAAATAATCCAGATGAAAGACAATACCGATATCGAAATGCTGAAATCAATACATACTGCATAAAAAAGTTTTAAGGTACTTCTCATAGCTGTCAGGATCAAGCTTAATTTCATACGAAAGGAATTGATGTTAATAAAAAGAAAAACATTAAATAGCACATCAAAAGAAGATTACGAAAAGTATACTACTTCATAGTTCACATGTAACCCTGCAATTTTTAGGTTTTCGCTTCAAAATGAATTTTGTTGTGCAAAAAGTCTGGGATTATGCATTTCAACATCTATGCAGGCAATTTATTGATTACATTAGGAGTCTTGTAGCAGAAAATATTGGACTATATTGCAGGAAATAGAGTAGCACGTTCAATAATAGACACTTTCCTATGGTATATTAAATAGTTTACTTGAAGTGCAATGCTGAATTAAGATTCCACCCCCTGCCCACCCCCGCAATGCTTTAGTTTTCAAAAGCTCCTGACTTTTAACTTTCATTCTGGACTATCTATATTAATTTTATACCTTTTGCATAGTAATCAAAATACTTCAGTAGCTACAAGCTGTTTATTTTAAGCTATTTAACTGCATTACATACCTTTATGATAAAAATTAATGCAATTGAAGAATTTCAGGTATCAATCTATGCTGCTAGTTACCTGAAAATTCTACAAATCTGGTGAACAAATACGAACTTTGATATTGCTGAACTTTACAATAAAGAATCAATTTTCATGGCACCCAATCAGTGTGTCTCTTTGTAATGAAAAACACTAACATTCACAGGTTAAGACTGCATAAAGAAGCTTGTGTTTGACCTATACAAATTAAATACATTTAATGTGAAATTATGTACCTAACTGTGTGCATACGATAATACATGTTTTTGTCAAGAGGAGCCTTTATAATACATTAAATTCAGTGTGGTTCCTCTCATACAAGATTGAAGAGAAGGAAGCAAGGGGACTTTAGAAGCAAGAATACAATTAATGAAGCGAGTATGCTTCTAGTGATTAATAAACATTTTAAAAAGTTAGTCATCATATGTAAACTAATTAATCTTTTAAAATGTTTTTGGATAAAGTGAACTAATATCTTTAAACCACAAATCTCTGGCTAGACTGAACTCCCTCATTTCATTTCTGTGCAGGCAAAACAGACAAATTCTTCCTAAAGTTTGTAAGTACCAGCAGTTTGGATTTATTTCCCTTTCTTTTTCTCATCTTGGAAAAAGAATGTCCACATTGGCATGGAAGAGGCAAATAGCGATGTTTAAAAGCCTTGTGGTAGAATATGAAAGGGAGACGTTGTCAATTAAGAATACAAGTGTTGTGATAGTCCATTAATGGGCACAACTGGTGAAGATGTAAAGCCTAAAATGCCAGCAAAAACAGTAGTCTTGCAGAGCCCAACTAACACAGCTTGCATTAAGCGTGGTAAGGCAGTTTCAAAAAGTTTGACTGTGCTGAAAAACAGGCTAGAAGCCACTTGTTTTTACAACAGAATCACCTAGTGACATTTCTGGACCATAATGCATAGTTTAAACTAGGTATGATCATAAGGCCATAAAGGCTGCTTATGATCTTCTGCTCTAAACCATAAGGCCATAAAGGTTGCTAAGGGCTTCTGCTCTAGACCAAGAATTTCTTTGAAAATGGCCATTTCAGAAATAGAAAATTAATGTTATAGACATAGATATAATGTTATAATATCACATAATTATATATACAACTAACATATATAATATATATCTATAATATAATTATAGATACAATGTTATAATTTAATGATTGAGGCCAAATATAGAAGTACACTGCTTCTTACATGTCGTTTCAGGAACAATGTACATAACAGTTATGCCCTGGGCAGAAATGTTATTTTTAATGACCCTCAGTCACATAATTTTAGTGACTAATTTTGCTATTCCATAAATGCATAACAATGTACATGTTTAATAGCTGTGATGAAAGCAAGGGTTTTTTTTGTCATTTTAGTACAGTGGTGGTGTCTGTGTAGACAAACAGATCTGTTAAAAGTACTCAGTGACTTTTTAATCTTACTGGATTCAAGTAGTTAACATTCCTGCAAGAACGACAACAAATGCTTATGTGTCTCCTCTATTATCTACCCCTCTACCTGGTCTAAAAGCATCATAAGAGTTCAAGTAAGTCAGACAGAAAAACTTCCATGGCATTTGTTAAGCAAAGTTTTTTGTTTAAATAGCTGTAAATGTCAGTCACCTAGAGAGAGGACTGAAAACTAACTAGTTGAAGTATTACGACAATGGTTGTACTATTACTGTAAAAGCCATAGGTTATTTTTAAATACATAAACCCACAAAGACAAGGTAATAGTGACATTAAAAAAAAATAATCACCAAATTTAAAAACACAGTACTATTAAGGACAAACAAGTAAGCACTGGTAAGCTTCTGAACAACAAAAAAACCTAATGTGATAGTCACATGAAAGTAACTTGTTCCTGAAAGCAAAAACCCCCAGAACATTACAAAATAGAAAAAGCTTATGAAACACTTTTAGAGTCAACCTCCTTATGCCAGTAGAGCACCAGTCTCAAAGAGATCTGTTAGAAAAAAAAAAAATAGTAGTAATTTTTCAGATGGAGGTTAAAATAACTTGGGAGTATTTTGATCACTTACTCAGGCCTTTTGATCCCATGTCGTCAGGGACCTCCTGCAGAGTAGTCCCCAGAGGGCAAGCAATAAAAAGACAATCACAAAGAAAATAATTGTCAGTAATATATAAAATTGGCGCTACGACAGGAGACAGTTCCCAGAACATCACAGGGGAAGATAAGTCTATAGGATTTGACCTGACTGGCACATGAAGTGTAATCAGTGATGCAAATGGCAGGGAACACAGTTTGCAGTGGACCTGGTCTGAATTAGCAAACTTACGCAATTGCTTTTTGAGAAGACACTTTTTTTTTAGTGCTGGCAACAACGATGAAAATCAAAGTAACCTCTCTTCATTAGGAAAACCGAATTAGAATTAGTCACTTTGAAGAAACCAGTCTAAAGGGACTGATTCGAGAAGCTGGTAAGCTCCATTATAATTTCTTTGCTGCTGTGCCCTCTCCTCCAAGTCAGAAATGAGGAACCACCACTGACAGCGCTGGAAGGCTGTTACCTCCTCCAGTTACGTACACGCTGTTACTCGGCAGTATTACCCAGTCTATTCCCAACTGGGATACTCTTGGATTAAATTTTACTTTAACTGCAAACAAATGGTTTTATTGATTTTGTAGATTAGTTTGTCATTGGCACCTCAAGCTCGTTAGCCTGTTGCAGCTCATGAAACTGTCTCCATGGTAACACCCTACTGCAATCTAGCAGGCCCTTCTACATGTGCTTTGCTCTCCGTCGAATGCCACATACTTACGGTCAATATCACTGGTTTCCTGCTCACTCTGGTCCTTGTTCTTGTAGAAGGGAAATTTTCGGGAAAAGAGGTTCTTTTTACGCTTGTCATTGAATGACTGCTGAAGAAGAGAAGGAGGGGCAAAACAAAGGATGTCTAATGTCTGTGTGAACAAAGGCCCAGACCAGCAGCTTTGCGGAAGCTGACTCCTATAACCACGTTATGCAGTGCGTATTTCAGTTTAACACTATCTTCTCAGCTCATTAAAAATAGAGATTGGGATTATGGCTTTGCTCACACCCTCCGTGTTTCACATGCTTACTACTGAGAGAACTGGCAGGCTGATTCATCCTGCATGGCCTGACCTGTATTTCACAAATTTAGGCTTGCTGGGAGTGTAAAAAGATGGGAAAAACTAGGCTGCTATAAGACGGCCAAACCATAATGAACTCAAAGTCAATTAAATCACTGATATTAACTAATATAGGGGTTACAGTATTTTTAAAAAATGCTGAGACTTTACACATGCTTTTGCAAACAGCTGACATTGTAACAGCACACCAGAAGTATTTGCCAGTGTTACCCATTTGCAAAGGCAAAACTGTAAATACTTTGGTGACAACTGCAAAATAACTTATCATACAATAAAGAAAAATGGAAGTTAAAAGCTATCATTGTATCAAATGCTTATGATAAAACTAAGTAACAGTGAAATAGGAAAAAAAGGAAAAAAAGAAATGTTTCTAGCTAAAATATCCAAACAATTAAAAAAAAAAAACAAAACAGCCTGTATTTGTTTCAATCTTTCACAATTGCAATTCATTGCAAGTTCACTGAAAGAAATGACTAGGCTCTATGTAAGTGTGCATCCCAATACCATGATTCACTTTCAAAAGATACAAACTCATTTCATTTGTTTATTGTGCCAATTTTTTTTCAAGGGTGCATTTATAGAGAATTAACACGTGAAAAACCCTGTATGTGCAAGGATCACGTTCAGCAACTTTTGACATTAACTGCTTGTGCTGCTGAAGAATTTCTGCATCTCAGCTGCTACAAAAATTTCTAGAGTTACCTATATGGACATATACATAAACTATTATTGTGCTCCTTCTAAACAATGGAGAGCATCAATGTATTTTCATTCATATAGAGGTATGTCTACAGGTATAATAAACGCAGAATTTAATAATATCTGCCCCGTCTTCTGTTGAAGACATTATGTGACTACAGTGCCTTTAATTTATTATTCTAGGTCAATAAAGAAAGTCAATGTATAAATAAATCAGCAACATTTTTACTGCGATTATGCCCAGAACTAGAACTAATACAGCTAACTTGAAGCCAGCTGAAATTTCTTTTCATCTTTAGGCATAAGTGAATCATCTGACCAGTTTTGCCAAAACATGAAATTTGCCATGTTTTTGTCATTTGGCTTGCAGAAACTCTATTACCGGAAGGATGGCAAAAGTAAGAAAATGCCCAACTTCATTCTGAGACCCTATGCTGCAGGGGGACTGTTTATTTCTAAGCCAAGCAGAGCCCATGTGCAGCAGAAAGTAATAAAAGTTCCACAGATCCATTTTTTAAAAGATACTTTAAAAAAAAAAACCCCAAAATATTTTCAATTCATACATTAAAGACTCTACTAACAGCTATTTCTAAAATTTGGAGCATGTTAACCTGCAAGTAATTGTCTGTCTTCAGCTAGTGTGAGCTCACCTTCCTCTACTATATGCAATACAGTTGCAAAAAGATATATTATCTCTTCTACCAGCATTAAGTATGGAATGAAATACAGTAACAACTAGGGGTCAAATAGGACAAAGTTTTTTCAAATGGTGCGCCACCTTCTTTGGTACAATTACAAAACTAGCATTTGGCCTTCCTAAAGAGAATGCCTATAGTGCAACACAAAAGCTGCATCCTGCTACAGTATTAACAATCCTTCTGGCCATCTGTTTTAATACAGACTTGCTTGGCAATATCAGATACTGAAACATCCAGTGATATTTTCATTACCATTGTTTAAAAAAAATTTACTTAAAATTACCAGGTGTTAAAGAGGCTCATGGTACCATGGGAATACAGTCAGTGACACTGAGCTCTGGAAATAGCAATACCGTGTTAAGTAGGAAAACCATAAAGCCTTTAATTGGCTGGCATCTGTGCTTGAGTAAAATGGTCATTCCACTGTAAGAATTGGTTAATAACCAACCTGACACATGGACAAAAGAACTGGTTTTGAGCCAATCATATGCTTGCAGGAACCATAGTTGGCATGGGCAAGGTTTTAGCTTATGGTCCTCCTGACCCTCCTCATTTGAAGTCAACAAGTCATTGCAATTGATTTCTCATAACCAGAAAGGTTAATGTAATCTACAGAACAAGGGCAACAAAGAAATATGCCCACAGGAGATCTCTGCTGACTATAATGAAAAATACTGTAACATGAATTTCCAAGAAGTCTTGCATGTATATAATTTTTCCATTCAAACAAGTCCCTCAGTTTGGGCAAAAGAATAGGGGAAATAAATGTAACAAAGCTAAAATGGTGCAGCTTAACTGAGGTGGTGAGACTCTGCAATTTGTATAGTTAAAATAAAAGGAGTGGCTGGTTTATTGTACTTCATAAAACATAATTGGGTTCTTCATTTTAGTTTTGAAATATTTCATATCAATAATTATTTTAACTTTCTGTACAGTAAATCTTAATGAACTAATATTAATTTTTATATACTGCATGTATAATGGTCAGAGTCAGTTCCATTGCCAAAAAAAAAGGGGGGGGAAATAAAAGTAATATTATACCGATTTTGCATAAAAGATTAGCCAAAAGATTATTTTTAAAAGATACCATGATTATAAAAAGCTAGAGAGAATTGCTTATTAGTTGAAAATGCATAGTAATTGTATTAAATTTTTCATAAGCCCACTGCAAATCATAAACAGGCATCATAAGCAAGAATATATTAAAACAGAAGCAGCACAGAAAGCGAGACAAATGTGTATACGAAAGGAACAAACAAGAAAAAAAAATGTAACCATTTCTGCTCCAGATTGCTTAACTTCCCTTAAAATGAAAGGAACATGGATTTTAATGTTTGCCATCACTAGGGTTATTCTTTAAGGTTGTAATGTAGAAATTTTGAAGAATTGCACAAAGTTGATATTTCATCCTGTCCGTGGAGTATCACCATATACGGACACAGTAAGGCGCAGTCCGTGAGGACATGTATGGTGCAGACAACTTACTGGGAAAAATATCATCGTGACAAATACAGGAAGAATAATTTAAGGAGAAACCATAATGTTAAAACATTTACAGCTGAAGCAAAAGATTGTGAACAGTGTAAGCATGTTTGCAAAATGAAATGTTACTAAAGAAAAAGAACTGCAGTTCTATGTCAATGGCAAGCGTAGTTGCTTTTCCACTCAGTATTCCATGCATATCTTTGGTGCTATGCTAGTACACAGTGACTGTACACTAACTCTGCTATTGTCAAAATGCTACCTCAAATACATCGTTAATTAAGTTAACTGTTTGCAGTTTATTGGTAGACAAACTACAAAACCATGCAATTATCTTTCAAAGAACATGGTAACATCTGAAAAATTACTTAATGTAATTAAAATAATCTAAAGTATTTAAGCCATTTTATGTGACTTCTAAAAAGTGAGCTCATATTATGAAATTGACCAGGTTAAAAATTACCACATCGGTTGATAATATTTTATTCCAATACCAAAATACGAATGCACCAAAACAGAAAAAAACCTGCAAATAATCCAATGAAACCTCAAGACAGTACCATAATTGCTCGTCAGAAAATAGAGATGTTGATTTCCTTTTAAACACTTATAGAAAAAAACCCGTAACATTCTCCTCTTTAATAAACTAAACTAAAACCTTTCCCATGCAGCAGAGGGATGTACATGTGGATTTGACAGTCTTTAAAGTATAAAGTCCTACACTATCAGGATAAAGTATTAAAGCTTTAATATTTTATATGCAAATTTTGAAGTTACGAATACATTGTAACTGAAATAAATGACTAAAAGAAATCTTTTGAGTTTTACAGTAACGACTAACTAATGTTACAACATTAGTGTTATTAAAAAAATAATCACTGTTTAAGGAATAGCTTCTTCAGGAGCTTAAAGCATGTTTCAGGTTTTTAAAAATGACAATATATTATTACTTTAGAAGGCTCTTACATCTAAAATGCATATACCTAAGTCTTGAAATTACTAGTTATATACTATCAGTAGAAATAGTAAGGTTGTGAAACTGTTTCCAAAATTTCAAAATGACCAAAACATTGCAAACAAGCCTCATCCTCAAAAAAAAAAAAAAAAAAAAATTAGCTGCTGTACCATTATGAAATTGCTATAATTTTGCCTACAAACATGCCTATTACTACTTAAGTAGCTACAACTGCTTTCTCACCACTCATTCCCATCATGTGTACTGGGACAGGGATTGCATATCATGCAGTGAACTGCACCAAGGGGCTGCCTAAAAATAAACCAAGGTGTCTTTTGGATTGGGTTATTTTTCACCTACATCGGCTATTTCATAGGATTTGAGCACAACCACATCAGTATTTCCACCAGTAGAGAGTGGAAGTGAGAATAAAACCAGCTGTGAGATGGAGACTGATTCTGGTCAGCAATAGTGCTAGCCTTGACTTTTTGTTGGCCTATGCCCTTGCATGAAATTCTTTAAAGGTCCTATATCTATAATTGTAACAAAAGTTACTTTATGCTGTCTACGTAACTGTGTACATCATAAAACCTCATTTCATCATAGGGACCCTGCTGAGCTTTACTTCCTTGTTTTCTAGATGCATTTAAAAAAACCTTAAAGAAAGAAACATTTTCCTTTTTCTGAAAATTGGTAGTAAGCCCCTTCCCCAAAAAAGGGAGTCCAGGAGTACAATCCATACTAAAGGGTTAAACTGCTTTATAAACAGCAGTTGCAGAGCTGTTAGAAATGGCACTATTCAATACCTGATTAGTATCTACAACTCCTATTATACTACAGTATTAATGATAATATATATTTCTAAGCTAATTATTTAAACAATTTGCAGTGTTTCGACATTTTAAGTTTGCTTTGGTGCTTGGAATTACTTTATTTCTATTAGACAGAATTTAATCTTTTCACTAAAATCTGAAACTGAGTCTGCAAATATAAACCACTGAAAAATGTTACTATCCACAATGCCAGGTGTAATTAGCACTTCATTAACTCACCCCTTTATCTCCTCTTGTTTTGGAATTGAATTTCACTGTCTTTAAGCGGGCTCGTTCTTTTTTCTCAACTCTACCACAAAAACATACACAAAAATGGTAAATCAGCAAAATTCGAGAACTTCAAGTTACTACTTGTTACAATGTAAGCGTATAGGTGTACCTTTTATAGTATAGATTTTTATTGCTGACAACACCTTGAAAAAAATGAAAGCCTGCTAATGCCAAACTGTATTGGAAAAGTAGGGTATTATTTCTCAAGTGATGAGCTGTGAGGGTATTGGAGTATTTTATGATTATATACGTTCAATAAATCCAGAGGGTGCAAACAGAAAACAAGACATAGTAAATGAACAGCCTCAATTATGAGTCAACAGTAGATACTAAGATTCAGAGCACCTAATCTCTTATTTGGGTCTCTAGTATGCCAGCGAACACCTTCTCCCCATTTACTGCGGCCACCAAAGAGACATTTGCCAGTTTTCCAGGTGCTGGGTAGAAAGAATTCACAATAGTGTCATGATACAAGTGAAATTCACTTTGCACCTTTTCATACATAAATGGTGTAATGTTATTACACCCACATGTAATCTCGTTAAACCCGTAACTTGCTTACAGTGAGAACAGAGAAATGGACTTGGACCATCTTTATCGAATTCAGCACACAACTCCTAAGGCTAAATAGGATTTTAAAAAAACTTCTCATTGAGTTAGTCAGAATCCCACTACAGATGGCTTTTTTTAAAAAAGCCAAACAAGTGCCTCATGTGGTACAGAATTAACAACAAAGACCAAAGCATATGCAATGTATGTATTAATCATATCAGATGTTTAATAGCTAACATCTCAAATTCAATAAAATAAGACATACCTGCGTTTGCTTGGGATAACTCCAATTTCATCACTTTCTCCATCTGGAGTTACCTGCCGTGCTTGCCACCATTCATCATCAGAAGCATTAATGACATGAAGAATATCGCCAAATTTGAAGTTCAATCCTTGACTTGGTAGGCCGCTATCTTTAGTCTTGTCATAATCAAAGAGAGCTCTACATTAAAAAGAAAAAATTAAACATTGAAAAAGCAAGAAAAAAAACAGGGGAGTATGAATAGCAGAAAATATGAAGCAAGCTGTGTTGTTCATAAGCGATTGCATCATTCCGACAGGTGCTTAAAACAAGAACACTGAATGTACTCTCTCATACACATACACATACACACAGAGAACATGTAGTATAGTATCCACACACACTTGTAAGTTTTAATGAATGAGAACAAACACCATCCAGAGCAAAACTCTAGCGCTTTATGAAAGGTCCACAGAAGATCCTACAATTTAATAAGTACTTTGCACAGAGCAAGTTACATGTCAGCCTAGGACAAAAAGGGCAAGCAAGTATTTGAAGCATACAGCACTGTCAAAAGATCTGTAATGTACATTGTTTTATACCAAGTTATAAATTGGTATTATTTTAGTAAATAAAAAATTACTGTCTGTCTTTAAAATAAAAGTCAGTATCCTTCTCACAGGGTTGCAGGGGTAAAAAAAAAAAAAAGAAAGAAAAAAAAAAGAAAAAACTACTTAGAAATATGATCTGAACACAACTTTGCTACTGTAGTACCCAAAGGCAAAGAACCTTATGTGCATTCTTTTGGAAAATTCCCAACCATTTCAAGAGAGTCTCATCCTTTTTTCCAAGGTAAGCCTGTTTTCAAATAATAGGCACTAGCAATACCTGAACACCAGCTGCGTGCCTACAGTTTTATTAACATTCCCTCTGCCAGCAGGGTTGGTTTATGCAAGTCCCCTATTATCCATACCCACATTCATGCCTGCTTTGTACAGACTCCTTTCTCCCTTCTTGCTTACGAAAGCACCATTGTCTGGAAAGGCACATGGTGCACCGTACTGTGGAACTGATCTGGGTTAACATTAATTTCTCTTCTCCCTGTTGGATCACTGTATATCTGGATCAGTTCCCTGAGGAACTGAAGAGACCTGCAGTATGTTTCTCCCAGCACAACTGAGGGTTTAGTGAGGATGTGGAAATGAATGATGACGGGAGACTCTTACCAAACTGTAAGAGATACTCCTAAGATTATGCCCTATAAAGGACTCTCATTTTATATTTGAAAAAGGTGTATGAACCTCACCTATGTAAAGTGAGAAGTGCCTGTATGACACAGGCCAAAAAATCCTCAACTTTATTTCATCTGCAAGCTCATACATTTGTCAGTGATGCACTTTCTAAATGATACCCTATCTTGATTTAGAGACTTGATACCAAGTCCATCACCAAGTAGCATCAATAGATTACAATGTGATGTTTTAAAATGGTATCCTTCTCCTTGTCCAAATTCAGTTTCTTCACCCCAAACACTAGTCTTATGTACCTTTTTCTGCTAGATTTTCAATGTTTCAGAATTTTTAACCCATCTAAGTACCTATAAGTCATAACTGTTTGCTCCAAAATGTATTTGAGCTTTGTGAGTTTTGCCCTTCTAAAGCACTGAGTGTATTTCTTTGGGTTCGAACTGTATTTTTTCATAACCAAGGACAAATTGCTTACAGGGAAAAAATTAAAAATTTTCTGTCAGATCAATTCATCTTTAGCATAAGATCTACTGCAAAATCGGAGTTGAGTCACCATGCCTTTCTTGGGCCATAAAAAGTATCAAAAACTTTTCATAAAGGGGTAAAGGTTTTACGGAATATTTTCTAAAATGTCTAAAACAGGAACAGAAATTTCAAAATGGCTTAGAAATATTTACTCTCATGATACACAAAGCCCTATATTTAAATATGCAATACTTTTAATTTGTTGAATTTATAATAAAATTTAGGATTTCAATTTTGAAAGAACTTGGAGGTTGCAATACCACCTTCCTTCAGTAGTGCAACCTCCACTATAAGATCTTTCAGTTTAATTCCGTAACATACTTGAGATATCCTGATTCTTTTCAAAAAATCAGAACGCTTATTTTCTTTGAAATAGCCCAAATACTGCAGGCATGAAAGTTATACACCTAGTAGTTATTCCTCCAGATTTATTTTGCACATTTGTTCAAGAAGCACTCTGGACAAATATCATTCCATATCTCAAACTAAATTGCACATAATCTGTTATGTACTTTTAATGCAGATTCAAGTTGTATACATTTTCACTGAATTAAATGCATCATGAAATTTATTTCCTGAGAATTCTTGTTAGCATTCAAGCAATGATTTCTACCAGCACTACTTTTAACTTCTAAGTTTTAGTTTGAATATAAACTTATATGAACAGTGAGCTGGGCCTAACAGCATTGACACGTGTGTTGACTGCATGAGAAAAAAAATACACAAGAGTGAAATGGAACCACAAATGGATAAAAACCTATATTACCAACACACGCTCTTCAAACTAGATAAATGGTTACACAGAACAGTTTTTGTACAATGAAAGGCAGTTTCATCAAATACTTTTCCTCTGGTGAAGTCACTTCAGGAAAAATAATTTTATTGGGGAAAAAAGTCAAAGCTAATAAAGAACATTTTATAATAAGACGAATTAGGGTGTCACAGAGTAGTGACAAAACTATGCAGCTAAAATTTATAGGAACACCAGGAACTGGTAATGATCAAATAAATGAGCCAAAAAGCAAAGACAATTAACAAAAATCTCTTTTGATTCCAACTGATTAGCATGGCTTTTCCTGTATGCCTGGCAAGTCATCAAATGAGGACTCACATCACAGCCAAGATGACACATTTATCTACAGACTGGTATATAAAAAATACCTCTTTTATTCACTCCCTGTATGTAGACTTTTATTACAGACTAACAATACCATGTATACATTTATTTAGTTTAAGTTATAAACACAAACTTACTTAAAAGTAAATTTGATATTCCTGATCAACTACTGCTTTGAAAGCAGTCCCATGATATTTACTCTAAAGTTCTAATTAAATTTAAATGAAAAGTCCTAAAAATTATTTTACAGAGAAAGTACCAAGTCCTCCCTTTTATTTCACCTTTTATTACTCAGAAACTAAACAGCACTAAGAAGATAATTTGGTTCCTTCATTTACAAGTCTACAGAAACTGAAGTTAAGTTGCACGTTTCATGAGTGTTTATGCTTCAAAGCCAAAAATATAATGGCTGTGTTAATGGTGCCAAATTTTCCAGAATGTCTTTTTACCTGGCCACACTCACCAGTTTCAATATCATAGGCTGTTGATCAAGTTTTACTGAAGCATTTTTTCTTTTAGGGTATTCTTGCTGAACAAAGCAATCAGGAATTCCTGCAGCAAAAGCATCGCCATGTCTTATTTCATGAAACATGACTTAATCTTACCACTTCAGAATGAATTAAGATCAGCTTATAAAAGAGGTTCTCTTTTTCTCCCTGAGTTTTTGGTAAAGCTGTTTGAAACTAGATGTTTGAACTATCAGAATAGCATAAGGATGGCCAATTAAACTCCTCCTGCAGGCAAGTACACTTTTCAGGCCTGGTGCTAATGCCAGATCTTATTTTTCAATGGATTTAGTCAAAATTTCCTAATGATTTCAAAACTGTAAAGCTTCTTCCACTTGGAGATGTAACCTTTTTCTGTTCCAATTCAAGCAGAAATTGGCACCATTGTTTGTATTTGAAATGTATCATGCTGGTCAGAAAAATGCAGAGGTAAAAGTAATTTTCAATTTTTAATTCTATGCGCATTGCAGACTAAGATTTGGCATACAATATGAGATAAAACATGGAACAAATTTACTCCCTGTCAACATATTAACATACAAACTTGATACCATGAAGGTATCTCACCTTTTCACATGGGCTTTTTGAATCTGCAGATGAAGGAGGAGAGCGTATAGATATAGTTCAGATGCAAAACCAGAAACATTATATGAGAGAATCTCTCTCCTCTTATAATAAAGATCAAAAGATATATAAAGCAAAAATAAGCCCATTTAATCAGTACATCTTAATTAGTCGGGGGGAGAGAGAATTAGATGTGCAAATGAAGAGTTAGCTGCTGCTGAATTGCTATATTTGTATTGCCCTCCAAGGACTGTTTGTTATATTGCTATTCACCATATATTGATATACATACAATCAAGAAGAAAAATCTGCCATTTTACTTCAAATTGTATTTTCAAGCAAACACAATTGTCTTTTCCTTAATACTACGTAACACTCCCAAAATGCTGTTTACAGGCAGACTATTCATAAAGATATCAAGTTTCAGTTACAGGGATACAATGATGTATCTGATTTTATTTGCTATTTTGTTACCATGATTTTGAGAAATCACTAGAGATTATTTTTAGAGTATTTTTATTTGATAAGTTTTCTACAATTGTGGTCGAATGCCTACAAACATTTTACTGTTGGATTTACCATTCAATTCAGCATTATGTTATATAACGAATCCTTTAAGGCATATCCAAAACCAAATATTACAGGGAAAAAAAGACAGCTTCAGTTACTAAAACTGGCTTTGAATTGGTACAATTAAAAGCACAGAATGATCATAGCAGAGTGACTTATAATAAGGAATAAGCTGGATAACTAACATGTTCTGTCACTCTCTACCAATATGTGAAGAGACTCACAAAACTTACTTCAGCAAGGTCAAAATTACATCAGAAACCAGACAGAGCAGATGTGAACCCATCCTGTGTATACCAAGCTGCCTACCAGTCTTTGGCATCTTTTGGTGTGATGACAAGAGCAGATCTCAAAAGCCCTAGCAGCACCCTCTGTTAAGAGATGTGGGTGGAAAAGTTTTCTTTTCCTGAGGAATTTTTGCATTTTAGATTTTTGTTCCGACTTATAACAAAGCTGATTACCAAGTCTCAAAAAACCTTTCTTGGAAAGGGAATCACCAGTCTCCACGAGGCTTCTGCCAACAACCTGGAGAAGGCTGCATTTCCTGCAGCAGCTGACAAAGTCAAAAGCTCAACCTCCATCATTTAGCGATAACAACTTCCATCAGTGGAATAAAAGCTACATAAACACAAAATGCTTGTCAGTGGCTTAAAATACCAGACTGATGTGTGAACGTGAGCATAAGCGGTTTAGAGCTTAATCTGGCTATAGCTAACCAAGCAAAATAAAAGCATTTAGAATTGTTTAGGCTTAGTTATATGATGAGGGCTAAAGCGATAAATCTTGGGATTATGGAAGGGAAGATCTCACCACAATATCCATATGTACACCTACCTGTGGAAATTCTAAGACATGGATAACTGTGGTATCAAGCACTTATCCTTAGTATTTAAGGCATTTATCCGTAGAGATTTAAATTTTGACCCCCAAAAATATTTAAGGCAAAGACCAAAAAAAAAAAAAAAGAACAATAGCAGCTCTGCAAAAACAGAATCCAGATAAAGCTACTAAAATAACAGGTCAAAACATAAGGGCTATGTGTTATACTCAATCTAAACAGAAGCCCTGACTGAGTAATTTGCTACACTTGTTTCAAAGCCTTACAAAGTAGGTTGCAAAGGACTGAGACTTTCCTGAGCACAGATGCAATTAACCCAGGTAACTGCCTTGTGTAAGACTTGCTTCCTTTCCCATCGCTCAAGAGATACAGCACCATGAACAAAACAGTACCTGCTTTGGATGGGAAAAGTCAATAGCACCTGAGCCTAGGATTTTAACAAGTAAGGCAGTGAGGTCCTACAATATTTTAAACCAAGTTTAACCCAAGCACCAGCACAACTGAAGTCTTACGTGCTCTACTAAAATGTTCTGGCCCCTGCCAAGAGGCTACTGCTGACTCTTATTCAATCCAGAGATGAGCTCGTTTGGGGAACTCAAAAATCAATTTATTTTTAAAAATGCAATCTTCTTACCCACATTCCACACTTGAAACATTATGCTTTATCAGTATATGATAACTGATGTAGGAGTTAGTTGACACATTAAAGAGTTGCACCTTGCCACAATTTTGCAGTGAAATGACCTATTTTCTTAACTGCTTCATGCTCTTTTATATTTCCACTTCCTTTTAGCCTCCTTTATATTTAATTCTATATGAATAAATTAATGACGAATATCCAGTTCATTTGCTTTGATGCATTTGCTCTCTTGGTCACCATGGAAAATATTCTATAACAAAATGCTATTGGATATAAAAGTAAGACTTCTTAATACAAGCTGAGAATACAACTAAAGTAAGCTGAAGGAAGTAAGACAGAAATCTGTCAAAGCTTAAGTAAAGGGAGATTATAAATTTGAACTCAAGAACTGAACAAGGGAGAATATGAAGACTACTGTCACAAAAACACAAACTGAATTAAGGAAGTTGTTAAGACTTCACATACACTGACTTAAAGAATAAATATATGTTTTGCTGAAAGATTAGAATCACTCTGAGAGGCCAAAAAGCAAGTAATAGCACCTCTCCAAAGTTCATATAGGGTTCTCAGTGCTATTACTTCTTCTTCCGCTATATTACATTAATTGATATAAATTAAGCTTTATTTTTAATATATTTTGCATATAAATATCAATTTGTTAAGTTCAATAATGAGTAAATAATTGTGTCAAAATGCAAATACAGAAATACTAAGTCTACAAAAAAGCAGAAAAACACGCTACCAATACCGTGAAAAATATAATTACCTGACATATAGGGATCTCTTCTGGCTGGTTCGCAAAGATCCTGATCCTGAACTAATGCTACTGTTCATCATCTGTTCCCGTAAATCATGTATTTTAGCTTCAAAACGACTGTATTCTGTAAGAAAGGGAGGCATTGCAATTAATTTCCCCTGAACTTCAGCAATTAAGTTACAAAAACACTGAAAATCTCCAAGAATAAGCATTTGTTGCAGCTTTTTCAATATAAGAAAAACAACCCCAACATTTTTATTAAGCACTGTGTTTTGTAATTAAAAGCTATGATAAGTTTTACATTTATCAATATTCACTGAAATAAAATGTGAAATAATTGTGATTAGACAAAGCAAATAAACAAGCAAATAATACTTTACAATTTTGTGGTTTTAATCTATAGTTCACAGTAACTATTTTTTTCTAATTAAGACCAACATTTCTACTAATAATGATCATTTCTATAGTAATAAAAAGAATGATACAGATGAATTTTAATCCATGATAAAAAGAAAACTTCAGAGCATACATGTGAAATACACAAGTTTATAATCAAGAACTACATATTTTAAATTTAAAATGTTAAGAAAGGGGAATGAAAAGTGTCTGTACTTTAAAATTACTGGACTTAAATTAGATTAAAGAATTCAGCACTACAAGGTGGGAAATATGCAAAACATCTTCTGAGTAAGACAGCGTTCCCATGGGAGCTCAGGAAGGAAAAAAAATCCAGAATTCTGGCATGAATCTCGATCCACTTGTAAACAGCATTAGAGATTCAAACTCCCTCTATAGAATTATGTACAATGTTAATCCTGGAAAAACGGATTGTGTTCTTAAGCAGCACTGTGTACTAATAAAACTAAGCTAAATGCATTTGATTTTAGCTACAAAGGCAGGCAGTAAAATAGTAATAGCTTCTTCAGGACAAGCATTTCCTGAAGAGAGGTACTTACATGCTGTCAGCATAAAATATGAACTCAAAACAAGTAAGTTTTTCCTTCAGTTGAATACTTTGGACTTCAGCATCAACAGATCCACTTGTAAAACCTTCCTAGCTACAGGAAACGTTCTGCAGCCACCACCTTCACCAGGAGACCACGTGATGCCAGATTATAACAAGTCAACACTGGGAGAGCCAGGGTGTGTGCAGCAAGCAGCTGCTGAACTGGGTAATGTGTTGCTCTTCCTAGCTGCACCCTTAATCCCTGCAGGCATCAAATTTACTCAGGAAATGCAAGACTGATAGTGGGGGCTCTAAAATGCAAAAATATTGAGAAAATCTCTAAACTAAGGTTCCTTCAACACTCGTCTAAATACTATGGACGATGTATCATACTACATTCCGTAGCGCTCTCTCCCCACACGCTCAGACATTGAGCGCCAAGGCTTACAGACTAACCAGAGAAGACAAAAATACTAAATTACAGAATAATATTCTGTGAACCAGTTTCTGGTGTATCACTTCATTTATCAAGGTTACTGTAAGTCTGATGCTCTAGCAGTAGCATAATCTATCCAGATTATGACAATATGAACAGTCTCTTAAATAACCCTGACTTCTGTCCTTTAAAACCAACAGCTAGTAGTTTTTAAGACAGCATCTTAGTTTTTAAAACAGGATCAAGTGCCTTTTTACCAATAAAGCCCAGATCAAATAATTTACCAGCACTAAATCAGACTAATAAGGTTGTTTGACAAGAGAAACAAAAACAGTACTTCCACCACTACCAATGCTATCACTAACAGCAAAAGAATTTATGATGACAGGACGGTAACCGAAGAGGAATGTGAGAAAATGACATTTTTTAGAAAGCAATATCCCTTAGGGGAAGGACCCAGATGCAGAGAGAGAATAGTCTACTCTTGCTGTGCTACTGCAGCACTGCATGACCTTGGGTGTCACCTCATTTTACTCACTTATACCTGAGAAATTATCTTTTAAGCCTCTCACCTGTTTTTTGGGTGTTTTGGAAGATTAAAGCTCTAAACTTCAAACATACTACAAGAATGGTAGCTGAGATTTCTGACCTAGAAGATTTTGGGTTTTTTATGCCCCCTGTGTGAAAGGAAAGCAAGCATGGAAAAGACCAGATAATCCAAGCATTTTCTTGTGCTACAGCCTGTTTAGTACTGAAATTATCTGCAGTGCTTTGCAACAGCTACTGGAAAAGAGTACAAATTTCTGTTAAGAACGTATCATGTGTCATCTGTTGGAAGAATGAGATTTCCTCCTATGGAGCACGTAGTACGTAAAGGAGTTAACAGGGGAGACCATTCCTTACTATTGCTTAACTCTACCTTATCCTATATATCACCTTCAGGTTGCTGGTCTTGCAGTTTCCTGGAGTAATTTAATTTTTCTCATCAGAACTCCTGGGAAGTAAGTGCTGAATGAGTGACAGGGACATCTGTAGTAAGAAGCAGAATAATTTCTACATAGAGATTCCTGCCATACCGCTAAAGCAAAAAAGGAAACTAATAGGCTGGGACTGAGAAGACTCTATGTTCAAAAATAAGGGGTGCCAAGAGATGTCATATTTAGGAACAGCTTAAACACCCTCTGCAGTTGGAATCTGGTGAGCTCCCTTGATGTACAGCAAACTAAAAATTTGAGTTGTATGCCTCTTACAGAAGGCTGTGGAAAGAAGAGGATATATAGAAATCTCAAAATCATTGGATTTGGAGCTAAAAAGTAGACAGGATTTTGGTTTTTTAAAAAGAAATCTTGGTATTGGATACAGTGGTACTGAAATTAATGCTAGAGACACAAAATAAGACAACAGCAGGACCCTTGATAGCAACAGAAAAGCAGTTACCAGTTTGGTACCCAAAGGATCAGTACCCATCCCCTGTTGACTAATTAGTCTTGGCTGAACTTTGGCATTATAAAGCAAAGTGTGAGCTCTGCTAATCTGTCTAAGAGAGGTTATATTTCTACGATTAAGAAGAGTTACATATCAACTGTCTTTAGAACCTTCAATCTCTTATTAAACTGAAGAACACTGATACCATTCTGGTAGTTTATGAAATGAGGAAAGTAGTCACAGGATTGGAATCAGAAGACTGTCCACAGCTGCTCCATCTTATGTGCTGTACAAGAGGGGAACAACAATAGCCAACAGCTGGTAGCAAGACTGGAAATTCATATCCAAGATGTGTGTGTATCAAATGCAATTCACAGAAAATGCAATTTTATTTGATTACAGAAGCACCAGAAAACTACCTGTGCACCTCTGTTTTTAATCAATCCCTGTAGTAATACCTCACTACTTATTAAACGCCCCCCCCCCCCCCCATCAAACAAAATAGAGAGGTAGCATCAAATTTACACTAATGAAAGATTTCATATAATGGGTGTACCAGACATAGATGACTTTGTAAGAAACCCCTTCGCTAAAATAACAGAAAAGCAGAAGTACTGGATAAAACCAAAACCACAATCTTAGCTTAACACTTGTTTCTTACACTGACAAGAAAGCAAGTATTTAGGGATGAGAACTAGGCAAGCACAAAGCGATACCTTCCCTTCAAGTACTGTCCCATCCCCCAGTATTTTCAATTTTTACAGAATTTCATTGTATATTTAAATTACCTATTCCATTCAGCTTATCACCACTAGATTATCCCAAGTGCTAGAGAACTGTTTTCTTCACAGTTCCATTCTTTCTTATGGGGTATGCATAATACTAGATATATAGTGTATGACAAAATTGATCATAGTTTTTCCCCTAAATCACAGTGAACAGCACAATAAACTTCCACATGGCTAAGTGTGACAATGCCATACAATGCACATATAAATATAAACATTTTTTTAAAGTTTTATTTTGCCACTTCAACACTCCAGAAATTTGGGGCTGAAACAGTCACAGTGAACAAGATAAAAAAGTCACTCTGCTTTCTTGGTTAAGAGGAAATGAAGAGCTTGGCTGAGAAAGAATATGATTGATCTCTGGTCTAATGTGATTGGGGTAATCAAACAGAAAGGACATAAGCTATTTAAATGAAAGAGCAAAACTGACTTTAACCCAAGTGGAGTAGGCTGGTCATAGGAACTCCATCTATGAATATGCTTCCCACTTCCACAGCCACCAAAACATTGAGATTGTCAAACAGTATTTTAATAAGAACTATGGTGGCACAAGAAACACCGCCCAACCCCACCCCACCTCCCCAAATGAAATTAAAAAACAAAACAAAACAAAACCACACAATCCAAACCTTCAATCCTTTCAGGTCAGAATTTGACCAGGATCTGAAACCTGATGCATATGCAACAGCAGTGAATGGGACTTAACTCAGGATCTCTTCTAATGTTCTGAATTTTAGGAAAGCTGCTGATGCTATACATCAAATAAAGGGTAACAGGCAGCAAGACTAACATGAAATGCAATAAAATAAGAACATAATAATAATGGTATCTCTTCTTGGCTAGAATTTTCTCAAAGTTTCCAATAAGTTTAGGGGCAGGGAGGGAGTAGTACCTGCTATCATAACACAGAACTTCAGGAAGCACAAGCATCTGCTGCTTCAATTCCTGGCATTTATCCAACAGTACCCCACCATCACCAAAAAAAAATCCCAAAGCCTACTCAGGTTTACACATAATCAGTTGTTAAGAACATTGAAGGGATACATCTGGGCTCAAGTTTAAACTTTAAAATTATACTGGATAAGCAGATGGTGCAAAACTAGAATAAATCTGCTCTATTTCATGTCTGCACGTACTGCACAGCAGCAAACAAAAAGGGGGTGGGGGGGAGATTAGGAAATCCTGGAAGATTCCTCTGCTCCTGAGCTCCTAAAGTGATTTTACCTAGAAAACTGTAATATTTTCAATATCAATGTTTACTTTTACAGAAGTCAGAACTTCAGAGAAAGGGTCTGAGCAGTCAAACTCTCCTGGACTATCTATCTGGTGGGCAACAAGACAGTGATACACACAGATACGTGGTGAATAGTCTTTACAGGCAGAGGAAGAGAAAAAAGAGGCCACAATGAAATTTAATTTGGTGTGGAACACACGTTCCAGTAAATGGGGCAAAGGAACAGAAAACTATAACAAGGGATGGAAAATTCAGCAAACAGCACAGAAGGAAAAGCAATGCATGGATGTGTGTA